TTACGAGAACGGAATTGGTGTTCATATGCCTTGTGATGCAAATAGTGATTAGTGGTTTTGCAAGTTTAGAGAATGTAATACAAAAATAAATGGGTTCATTGACTTTTGTAGAAACAATTTGCAAATTTTTTGCCACATATCCTTGCAAGTTTAAAAGCTTTAGAGGTTTGTATTTGGTTTTATTTTTGTAATATTGTGGTGTGCATTGTTGGTATTTTGATACTTAAAGAACTTGATCACTAGACTACATTTATATATTATATCGTTGTCAACATGTATTATTAATATACAAATAAAGGAAGCAAGACTTACTTGCAGGATTAGACATGAGATTTAGACAACCAATACAAACTCTAATGAATGAATTGTAAAATTGTTGTGGCAAAACCTTTGTAGTGATATTTGATAGGATCAAACATGATAAAAGGGAAATTGTAAGAAAATAAATGTTGAAATGGAAAATAAATCAAAGTAAATTCATATCTTCATTCATAATCCTCATTACATACGAAAAAAAGTTTAAATACATTGAATGATAGTATGTTTTGAGGTGTAGAAGGGCGTAATGATATTACCTATGTAATGAGCTTAATGGATAGTAATAACAATAGGTGGTCTAACTAATTATGATCGAAACCAAACAGCATAGAGTCGCATCAATCTTCTTCTCTCTCGAAGTCAGAATAGTTTCACTCTTGATAGAGTTAGTGCATACAAACCTCATGTTCGAGAAGAAAGACCATACTGCAGTTTTATTTACGTGAGATCATAAGTGCTCCTCCTATCGTGGTAGTAGTTGTGTTTGCAGTTTTAAGAGTTTGTAACCAACTCTTATTCTATGATCTGTAGTTCTAATAATTTCTCTATTATGTATTTTATCATGATTAAAATACTTGTAAATCCATTATCAATATTAAGTCCAATTAATTTTCGTAACATATTCGAGATCATGCTTTTATTATAACTCGTTACTTTGAAAACGCATAATTTTTTAGGAAAAAAAATTAGCGCAACAACTAGAAATCGGTAGATTAATGTAGGAGAGAGATGTGTAGGCTTAAGGTATTGTTTGCGTGCTTGGAAATGAATCAGTTTCATTTGTTTATGGATACGTAAAATAACATTTATGGTTTGCGTGTTGGTGCCGCATGACTGGGATGGCGAGAAAGAAATCATGGATCAAAGAGTAAGGCACTTTGAGGATCTGAAACGTTTGACCGAAAGTTTTACATTAGTAGCTCAAAGGGTGAAGTCGCTTAAGGTTGGTATTGGATTCGTTTTATTTTTGTTTTGCTTTTACTATTTTTAGAGAAAATTAGAATCCACTCATCTTAAAAGGAATATATGTTTAGTTTAAAATATTAAATACTAAGTCATCTATTTTAAAACGTTTTATTTATTTATTTTTGTTGTCGGCATGCTTTTCCAGAAAAGAGAATATACCTTGAAGCACAATTTAGGTGCTTTAAATGAAAAACTGAAGATGACACTGACACAACTAGAAGAACAGAAAAGAATCGTGTTTGAAGGAGAAAACTTCAGGAAAAAATTCCATAACACTTTTATGGTATTCTTATTAGCACCTCACTTTGTTAAATGTACTTCACATATTGTTTTATTACTTTAATATAAAATAACTATTTAGGCTCCATAAATTTTCTAATAGAAGTTATTTTATGAATACACCCCCGTCATGTTCAATTTGTATACTATTTTTCTTCATGCTCTGCTCTTTGGGTGACTAGTCAATGAAAATGTTATCCCATGGAAAATGCAATAGCCAAATTTGCCCTTGTATTGAGCACATGTTTTCCCAAATAACATGAAAGTGATGTTGGCATGGTTAATCGATCAGTGACTAATTCAATCATAAACCCCTAATTCAAAGGAACCTCTAAATTGATGGACCTAAACCCTAAAATTGACAGAAATGTAAACGTGAAAAAAGACCCTATAATTATTTAGGCTGTTTCACATGTTTATGATTATTCACCCATATTTGTTCGTATCATTTGATGTTTGTTAACATAAATCTCGCGTTCGTTAGATATCAACTAAAATAACTCATTTGTTATGAATATTCATGATTTTTGCATTTGATATCTGTGGGAGAAAAAAACATTCATGACAGAAACCTAGTTGTGTATTCATTTGCTTCTTTTTGGATGTGGGGTGTATGTAGAGAGTGTATGGTATATGCAGAAAGTGAGGGCAATTTGGGAATGTAAGTGGGGTGTGTTTTAAAATTTAATTGGAAAAAAGTATTAGTGGGTTGTATTTAGTATGTCAGATGTATTTAACAATATGTGGTTTAGAAGAGAATCGTAATTGGAATATTTTAGGTATGAATCTTCTTCTTTAATAGGAAGTAAAAGGAAATATGAGGGTCTTTTGTCGAGTTTGACCGTGGCTAGCTAATGAGAATGAAGCGCCTGCAGTTTCTTATCCTACCGCAACAGAGTCTCTTGGCAGAGGCATCGACTTGCTACCAAATGGTATGGGCACTCTAATGCTTGTTTTATTTCTTATCTAGTTTAAAATCATAGTGACGAATTATTTGAATCTAATTTTCTATAAATGTTTTATTAACTTTGCAGGACAAAATCATCATTTGACCTTTGACAAAGTATTTCACCAGGCTTCCCAGAATGATGTTTTTTGTGGAAATATTGAAGCATTTTAAAATGGGGCACTTTTCTTTCTTCCCTTATTTTGGTTTCAGAGTCCATATATCGGGGGAAAACAAAAACAAGAAGTCAATGAGGTCTTAAATCTTATCGATCTCGCTGGAAGTGAGAGATTGTCGAGGACGGGTGCAACCGGAGAGCGGTTGAAGGAAACCCAAACTATTAACAAAAGTTTGTTATCCTTGAGTTGCATGATGTCTGCTTTGGTGAACAAGGAGGACCATGTTCCATTTAGGAATTCCATGCTAACCTATCTTCTACAGGTATAGTAATCTGTGATAGTTTTACCGTTATTGTTGCTTGCTTTGTTCTCAAGGAATTGTAGTATTTACATCACATCTCTTTTCATGCATAAACATCTTTGTTTGGGAGGAGATTGCAAGACGCTGATGTCAGCGTCGCGCAAAACTTGTCTTCCATCGGGGAAACCTGCTGCTCCCTTCGATTTGCTTCTACAGTTCACACTTGTGAAGGGATTCCTCGAAGACAAATGACCATGAAGAACGTGCAACCAGGTCTAGTGTAAAGAGGACAACCGTGAAGATGAGGACAAACGTAAAGACCTTGCATGTAGGTGTGGAGAAGTTGCAACCAGACAATCTAGCTCCGTCTGGTGTCTAGTGAAAATTTATGAGGTTTAGAATATGAACCACTAGTAGGAAAGAGAACAAATGCATATAGCTTCTTGGCTCTTTAAGAAATCCTGATGTGTCAATTGTTCGAGGATACGACTGTTTTCTACGTGTCTACACCTCAAGTAAAATTTCGCTACAGAGATCTTGTGTCACCATTTAATGTCTAAAACATAACTGAAATAATAAGATTACCGAGTTACTATGGTACAAAACCAACAGCATAAAACATTCAACTCATTTTAGACACATCCCAAGGGCAAACTCTATAGCAGACTGTTACTGCCACCAGCTCACTACACATCATAAGACTTGATCACAGAAATATTGAGATAAAAACCCACACCACTTTTCAACTTTATATCCATGATTCAGTGATTCACACATAGCAATAAAACCCAGCGTTCTTCATGTGGTTACTGGCCGTACGCGGGTTCCCCGACTATTATTACATCTGTATCAATGTTGGCTTGGATTATATGGCCATCAGTGCTGCGACGAACGGTGCCTTTTATTCCCATCAAGCAATGCTCCTTCATTGTATTGGCAACAAAGCATTTTCATCAAGGGAGGAGGGCAGGTAATAGGAAGAACATGAACACAAGAAAAATTGCACCAACCTTTGAGTGCTGAAACATACTATGGGCATCGTGCCGCAAACCAGGAGTTGCAGTTTTGTTCGTCTTCACCCAACATATACTTTCACAACTATAAAAGCCCCACTGCAAGACCACATTATTTCTTCAAATGTCCAATACTCTGTGTGGTCAGCAACACCAGGAGCACGATGAACGTATTCCTCCCAATGTGGATCCACAACAATGACATCAAACTTGGCTCCAACGAACTCTGGGGATAGCGCAAACTCTTTCAGGTGACTTATATTCAGACATTTCATGAATTTTTTATTTTTTATTTTTCCATTGTGTAGTATGTATATTTAGAGGTCGCACTTGGTGCGATGGCAAGTGCCTTCGCCCATGAGCGGTAGGTCTCGGGTTCGAGACTTGGGAGCAGCCTCTCCATAAATGGGGGTAAGGCTAGCCGACATTCACCTCTCCTAGACCCTGTGTAAAGCGGAAGCCTTGTGCACTGTGTACGACCTTTTTTTGTGTAGTATGTATATTTAGTAGTTTGTTACAATGGTAAACTACTTTTTTTACTTTCTCTGTTCTGTTATTGATTAATGTGTTTGCCTTTTGTCTTTGGTGGTCAATTGACATGGTTGATATTCCCATGTTTTCCATGCAATATTCTGGTTGAATGTATTATATTCGATTATGTTGCAGCCATATCCTCATTTAAACAGCAAGTCGAAGGTTTACAGGACATTGACCATTCAATTGAGATGTTAGTTCGTTTACTTTGTGCTGTCCCTGGTTTGAGTGAAAAAAATGTTCAGGTATTATGCTTTGAATATTTTGTTAGGCAAGTTTAATAAGATCTTGCTTGCTTTTCTCTCTTATTAGTGTTTCGGGTAAAATTTATTACCTGGCGTCCACTGCAAAGAAGTTTCCTAAGAAATATAGTACTTTGTCTTCTGGGTGAGTTTTTATTTTAATTTAGATCAGACATCAGGATTGGAGTTTGGTTTGTTTTTTGTCTCTCTTCAGGTTGTTGCTGTGGATGAACATATAAGGTTGTCAAATCTAGTTTCTAATGGTGTTATGCACTTTGACAGGTATTAGTGAACGGGTTGCAGATATCAAGACCCGGACCCATGCCATGAAATGCCTCACTTCTTTTTCTGAAGCCATAGGTCCAGGATTAATTTTTGAAAAAGCAAGTTTAGATGTGATTCTTCTACTAGCCATCATTTTTCTGGATGCCTTCTGTTTTTCCTGAAAGCAAGGATGCTTAATCTTATACCCATGCGCATGCACTATATATTGCTCGTTCTCCAATGATTGATTGATATTTCTTCTTCTTGTAGCTTTAAAAAAATTATGAAAGAGCACAAGAACCCTAAGGTTCTCAGCGAGGGAGTATTGTGGATGGTTTCAGCGGTTGAAGACTTTGGTGTTGCATATGAAACTTAAGGTTTTTGGATTCTGTTCCGATTTAGCCGATTTTGTTTTCTTTCATCTCTTCCAGTCATCAATTAGGACTTAGTAATTTACATAAAGAGGATAATATGTTTTACAGGATTTGATTGATTTTTGTAAAGAAACTGAACTGCAGTCCAGTGCTGCTGCCACTAGGAACTCTACTATTAAGCTTTTGGGTGCTATACATAAATTTGTTGGTCCAGGTGACTGGTCCTTTTAGCTTTTGGGTGTGTTAATTTTCCATCTTCCAGGTTCGCTTGGAGTCAAAAGAAGCTGTCAATAAAATTTTAGAAGAAGCTAATGCATGCATCCAGCCAACTGGAACTAACTGGTACAAACAATATATTTATTGTTACCTACAGAATAGTCGCCATTCAATTTCATGATAACTTGTTTATTGTTTGACTGCCGGCGGAGTTGTTTGGTGCCTTAAGTGGGTGCTTATATGATAGCAACAAGAACTTGGTCTCTGCAACCTTAACGGTTGTTGGTACTGTTGCATCTGCAATGGGCGCACCAGTTGAAAAGTTCAGTAAGGTTTGTTTATATCCAAATTGACAACTACTTATATGAAGTATCTGTTTTGTTGTTTTTAATACAGTTGAACTTTTGCATGAATTGCAGAGCATTCTGTCGGATGTTTTGAAATGTCTAGGAGACAATAAGAAGCATATGAGACAATGCACCTTAACTGCTTTAGACTCATGTCTCTCTGCTGTTCATCTTGATAAAATGGTGACCGTCTTTTATCTCTATTCGTGATTTGAAATTTGAGTCTCGTGTCAAGTAGTGTAACAGTATGTTGTTGTAGGTTCCTTATATTACAGCAGCTATATCAGACACCAAGCTTGGTGCAGAAGGGTGGAAAGATCTCGTCGAGTGGTTGACAAGACAGCTTTCCGGGTTAAGTGATTTCTCTGATGCTGCTCATCTTCTGAAACCAGCTTCCTCTGCTTTGACGGTAAATTGTAATTGATTATCATAAGAAATTCTTGTCTTATTTATTTTAACCCTGTCCATCCATCAAAGCACACATTGAAAAAATCTTACAATGATGTAAAAAGGTTTAGGTAACAGACACGCTCTGTGACACGGACACACAAATGTGTATGTTATGTATATATGCTAGTACATATATATATACACTTAAGTTTATTCATATATTACTCGCTTCTGAAATCACTTGGACGTCTGGAATCTTTTATAGGATAAATCCTCATCTCATATGTTGGTAAAGCAGCAGAGACATGCGTTCTGAAATTTTGAGAGAGCTGTCCGTCCAGATATAGCTGTCCAGTCACAGGCCTTGATAAATGTTAAAGATTCAATTAACGTACATATGACAATAGCATGGAATTTGAACTTGTGTACTAATCTTGAGTCTACTGATGAATGGGGATTTGAACTGCAGGAGGATAGAGAGCGATTGGTAGCTAAAAAGTTTAAGTTTGAAGAGCCACGGATAGAACACTTGTACAGATTTCACAGAACAATTCCTTGTGTTTTTCATTGTCATTGCATTTATGAAAAGTATTTTACTTGCACATTACATACAGAATGATATTTCGAAGTACTTTAGAGAGGATGTGCATAGGCGGCTTCTTTCTACAGATTTTAAGAAGCAAGTTGATGGGCTTGATATACTACACAAGGTATATTTCTGCTATTCCTAATATCTCAATTTGTATCAAATATGCGTGCTTAGTTTGACCAATGTCCTTGTGTATGCATTCCAGGCGCTTCCAACCATTATAAAGGAAATTATTCAAGTATTGGATATACTGCTGAGGTGGTTTGTTTTACAATTTTAAGAAAAGAGATTCTAAGTTCTTGAAGAAGCAAGTAAAGATGCTCCAAAGAAGCAAGGTCCTAAGTGTTCCAAGGTAAAGACTCCATTGATATGCTGGAAAATTAAGAAAAGAGATCTTTAGTTATGCACCTCCTTAAGTTGCACATTTTTTACTTTGTTTTTTCAAAAGTGTATCTTTATAAATCATTTTTGGAATTTTAACAGATTGTTGAAGTACCAGAGACTATAGAACAATGTGTCGTAGCAGCAGCAGCTATGAGATTTTCAATCCTGATAGATTCTGAAACCGATGCTCATGGGGGTAGTTCTTCTAGTATGAGTACCAGGGACAAGGTTGGTATAAGTATGGTCATTTTTAAACACCAGGGATAGTTTGTTCTAATATAAACGTTCTTGAAAGCTACTCTATCCTAATGTGCTATTTTCTGCATTCACAGCGAAAGCATGATGCTTTGGAGTTGGATGAAGAATTTGCTAATAACGAAGTGGTTATTTGGCGTGCTAATTTTGAGGAATTCATTCGCTGCCTAAGGCACAAGGTTGGTTTTCTTCTGCTTTCTTGTGAATTATAATTATCCATTCATATTAATGAGAGCAGTTGGATTTTCTGGTTAAACATGATATGTTGAGTATGTTTTGGCATAATCTGGATTTGTTTATGCGGATGCTCTGTGGCTTTATTGATACTAACTGGTAGAGATAGTTTGGTTTTTGATGACTAGAAGAAGGTCAAGAGTGAGTTAAATGTTGCCATGCTTTTCAGAAACTACATGTTGGGTTTGCATTTGAGTTCAAAGTTCAAACTTTTCCCTCTTTTGTAATTATAGAGTTTGGTTCATTGAAATGAACCTTGGAGTAGACTGAACATCCAAATGGGCATTGCTTGGTTGACAAAAAAGAATTAATTATGTAAAGGAAAGGGAAATCCTCCATGGAATGTCCAAATCCTACCTGAGTTCTTTCTCTGCATTATTATTTGTGTTCCTATACGCAACCTTATCATTTTACGAGATGCATTCTTTTATCTTTTGATGTGGTTCTACATAGTCTGCCTGAGGTGAAAGTAAATTTTCGTTTTGTGGTCTAGGCTTGCGTCGAGAATGTGAGAGCACGTCTGGATGACGGAGCTGCACTTGTCTTAAGAGCAATGCTTATGTCAACTAGAACTGCAGAGAAGAAAGTAAAGACGGAAAATTCAGGTAAACTGGAAGTGTGGATTATTGCGTGGTGAATTGGTTATTTTCAGTTCAATTTCTCGGCCAAGAAAATGTTGATGAGTTTAGAAATAACATGATACGTTAATAATTTCTATAGGCCAAGACAGTGTTGATTCAGAACTACTTAAAATACAAACAATTCAACAATAGTAATTGGGGAGGAGTATTCTTAAATTTCAGGTAGACGGGCCATGGGCCCACTCCAACAACACCGATATTGTCCCCACTTGGCCACTTGCTCAATTCGTCAGGTGTGGGGTTTTATTGCAAAAGGTCTCGGTGTTAGTTAGAGTGGGATAATTCTATATAATTGCTTGTTCTCATTACCTCTGTGGGACAACTGGGATTCCAACAAGTATGACCAAACAAAAAAGAAAAGTTTGAAAATTAGCCAAGGAATAACCTTAATAAATGAAACCAACAAATACAAATAATAATAATTTTAGAAATAACATGAAACCTTAATAAATGAAACGAAGGAATAGTTTCGTTGATTGTTTCGCTGATTGATTTTGCAGTTCCTGTATCATTCAGTACTATTTATGAGGAGGTGATAAACAGTGAAGCTGGTCGTAATTTGACATGTGATTACGTCAAAGCTTCCCTCAGCCTGTTCTGCAATGAAAGGGATGTAGATGGGGATGAGTCGTATAGTGTTGGTACAGTTCGCTTCTTCTCATACAATTGATTTCTGGTTTTTATTTTTCCTTTCATCTTTCTTATGGATAACATAGTAACAGATTTGTACTGAGTTTTCATTGACGCATTTATTTCTTGTACAGACTTGAAGAAAATTCTTGAGCTGGCTCAGAATGATGAGGTTTTATCTGATTTTGTTCTTTCAAGATATATGAAAATTCATTTTTATTCACCAGGACCGATGTCAAAGTACCTTTTCTTTTCTGCAGGTGGAGTCAATTGTTTTGAAAAGATATGGGAGAGATGCTTATAAAATGTTTAGGCTACTGTCGACTTCAAGTCGTGCACTTGAGATGGATAAGGTAATAACATTGTTATGAGTTCCACCACTCGCATCTGTACGATGAATTATTCAGTTTATCATGACCGTTGGTAGAATGACCACGGAACTTTACGTGTTTGGAGCAAGTCAAGGTTTTTGTTGTTAGAATAGCACATTTGATATTTCGAATACTTTCTCCAATATTTATAGATTTCAGATATGACACTTGTTGAAAAGAAGGAAATTCCCACAATTCTCTATAAGCTGTGGAAGGATGGAGGTAAAGCACTTCCCTGTTATATGTACCACGTGCACGCGCACACGCAGCCGTGCTAGTGTTTTTACTTTTGCACTCTATGACAATGTGTCATCTCGTTGCAGAGATTAGCTGTGACGGGAGCCAGACAGGCACAATTCTTGGTGTGGAAGGTAGACAGGCCCATTGTTTGGAAACATGTTTTAGATGAGATGTTCCACACAGCGCTGAATCTGAGTCTTCGACTGGTGTACGAGGATGACCAAATTAAAGAGGTTCGTAAAAACACACAATGTTATGGTTCTAGTATGTTCAGTTAGGAAACGGTTCAGGTTAATATTCTGAACAATCGAAGTTGTCTCATATTTGCAAGTACAATTTCTCCCAGCGCACAAGCGAACAGGGCCATTAGGGAAACAATGGCAAAGATTTAGAAATGTGGTTTATGTTATGCACGCATCCCAATTGAAGATTGATGATGCCATCATGCTCTTCCATGACTTCTGATTCTACATTTGCAACTCTTATTTATATTTTGGGTTTGGTCTTGCTTGTTAGAAACAAAGGGTGATAAGGGTGTTGTAGAATTTCAATCCGGGATCATAGGTGATGGAGAGGAGGCCAAATATTGGTATATTGTTTTTTATGTTTTAAAAAAGTTGAGTAAATAATATCAGAATTGACTTTTTAGTGTAAAAATATAATTTTTCGTTAAAATGAACAGTACCAGAAGTTTATCGTTAAAATTCTCAAAAAACAATATACCAATATTTGGCCTCCTCCATTCTACATCACCTATGATTGGTTCACCATGGCATCAGATTGCAATTTTTGCACTGGCCAAATCAATCATTTTTTATCTCTTATCGATTAGCTCTTAATCTAATGATATATTCAAAATGATGAAATATGTCTGAAGTACGTATTTTTGTCTCCGTTTAAAGAAGAAAACAAAAAACTCACATCCATACCAAATAATTTGAGTAAAGAAGCGAGGCACGGAAGTCGAATACTAGTTCAAATTAACAAGGGCTGAGACTGAATACCACTTGGAAGAAAATTCTACATTGTTGTCAAGGACAGAGGCAGCTAAGGCCCACCAGGAGCAGCTACCCCACTAAAGCTTTGTGCATAGGCAAAAAAATCACCATGGTTACACAATTTAAATTTATCGTATTTAAGTACTTTATAGAAGAAATTCTACTATTAGGAATTTTGTTTTCACAAGTATAATTGAAGGTTAAGGTCAACCCCACTAAAAAAAATTCTAACTCCATTCCTGATTGTTGTAACGTAATTTTGAGTAAGGATTGGAAGACAATTCTACACATTTTGTTGTTGCTAAGCTTCCCAAGAATTCTTATGCACTACAAGGGCCGGATTGAAATTCTACAGCAACCTTTCTTACAAGCAAGACCAAACCCAAAATATAAATAAGAGTTACAGTTAGTGTAGAATCAGAAGTCATGGAAGAGCATGATGGCATCATCAATCTTCAGTTGGGATGCGTGCATAACATAAACCACATTTCTAAATCTTTGCCATTGTTTCCCTAATGGCCCCGTTCGCTTGTGCGCTGGGAGAAGCTGTACCTGCAAATATGAGACAACTTCGATTGTTCAGAATACGAACCTGAACCGTTTCCAAACTGAACATACTAGAACCATAACATTATGTGTTTTTACGAACCTCTTTAATCTGTTCGTCCTCGTACGCCAGTCGAAGACTCAGATTCAGCGCTGCGTGGAACATCTCATCTAAAACATGTTTCCAAACAATGGGCCTGTCAACCTTCCACACCAAGAACTGTGCCTGTCTGGCTCCTGTCACAGCTAATCTCTGCAGCGAGATGACACATTGTCGTAGAGAGCAAAAGTAAAAACACTAGCACGGCTGCATGTGTGTGCACGTGGTACATATAACAGGGAAGTGCTTTACCTCCATAAGCAAGTACTCATCATTCCACAGCTTATATAGAATTGTGGGAGTTTCCTTCTTTTCAACAAGTGTCATATCTGAAATCTATAAAGTATTGGGATGAGTGTTCGAAATATCAAATGTGCTATTCTAACAACAACATAAACCTTGACTTGCTCCAAACACATTAAATTTTGTGGTCATTCTACCAACGCTCATGATAAACTGAATAATTCATCGTACAGATGCGAGCGGTGGAAGTCATAACAAAGTTATTACCTTATCCGTCTCAAGTGCACGACTTGAAGTCGACAGTAGCCTAAACATTTTATAAGCATCTCTCCCATATCTTTTCAAAACAATTGACTCCACCTACAGAAAAGAAAAGGTACTTAGACATTGGTCCTGGTGAATAAAAATGAATTTTCATATATCTGAAAGAACAAAAGTCAGATAAAACCTCATCATTCTGAGCCAGCTCAAGAATTTTCTTCAAGTCTGTACAAGAAATAAATGCGTTAATGAAAGCTCAGTACCAATCTGTTACTATGTTATCGATAAGAAAGATAAAGGAAAAATAAAAACCAAAAATCAATTGTATGAGAAGAAGCGAATTGTACCAACACTATACGACTCATCCTCATCGACATCTCTTTCGTCGCACAACAAGCTGAGGGAAGCTTTGACGCGATCACATGTCAAATTACGACCAGCTTCGCTGTTTATCACCTCCTCATAAATAGTACTGAATGATACAGGAACTGCAAAATCAATCAGCAAAACAATCAACGAAACTATTCCTTGGCTTCATTTATTAAGGTTTCATGTTATTTCTAAAATAATTATTAAGTATTTGTATTTGTTGGTTTCATTTATTAAGGTTATTCCTTGGCTACTTTTCGAACTTTCTTTATTGTTTGGTCATACTCCTTCCCAATGACTTGTTGAATTGTTTGTATTTTAAGTAATTCTGAATCAACACTGTCTTGGCCAATAGAAATTATTAAGGTATCATGTTATTTCTAAACTCATCAACATTTTCTTGGCCGAGAAATTGAACTGAAATAACCAATTCACCACGCAATAATCCACACTTCCGGTTTACCTGAATTTTCGGTCTTTACTTTCTTCTCTGCAGTTCTAGTTGACTTAAGCATTGCTCTTAAGACAAGTGCAGCTCCGTCATCCAGCCGTGCTCTCACATTCTCAACGCAAGCCTAGACCACAAAATGAAAATTTACTTTCACCTCAGGCAGACTATGCAGAACCATATCAAAAGATGAAGGAATGCATCTCATGAAAAGATAAGGTTACCCATAGGAACACAATTAATAATGCAGAGAAAGAACTCAGGTAGTATTTGGACATTCCACAGAGGATTTCCCTTTCCTTTACATAATTAATTCTTTTTGTCAACCAAGCAATGCCCATTTGGATGTTCAGTCTACTCCAAGGTTCATTTCAATGAACCAAACTCTATAATTACAAAAGAGGGAAAAGTTTGAACTTTGAACTCAAATGCAAACCCAACATGTAGTTTCTGAAAAGCATGGCAACATTTAACTCACTCTTGACCTTCTTCTAGTCATCGAAAACTGAACTATCTCTACCAGTTAGTATCAATAGAGCATACAGAGCATCCGCATAAACAAATTCAGATTATGCCAAAACATACTCAACATATAATGTTTAACCAGAAAATCCAACCGCTCTCATTACTATGAACGGATAATTATAATTCAAAAGAAAGCAGACAGAAAACCAACCTTGTGCCTTAGGCAGCGAATGAATTCCTCAAAATTAGCACGCCAAAGAACCACTTCATTATTAGCAAATTCATCCAACTCCAAAGCATCATGCTTTCGCTGTAAATGCCGAAAACAACACATTAGGATGGAGTTGCTTTTCAAGAACTTGTATATTAGAACAAACTATCCCTGGTGTCTACAAATGACCATACTTATACCAACCTTGTCCCCGGTACTCATACTAGAAGAACTACCCCCATGAGCATCGGTTTCAGAATCTGTCAAAATAGAAAATCTCATAGCTGCTGAAGGTGCTGCTACTGCTACAACACGTTGTTCTATAGTCTCTGGTACTTCAACAATCTGTTAGAATTCCAAAAATGATTTATAAAGATACACATTTTGCAAAACAAACTAAAAAATGTGCAACTAAAGGAGGTGCATAACTAAAGATCTCTTTTCTTAATTTTCAAGCATATCAGTGGAATCTTTACCTTGGAAGACTTAGGACCTCGCTTCTTTGGAGCATCTTTACTTGCTTCTTCGAGAACTGCTTCAGGAGCCGGGCAGCGTTCCACAAAATGAGCGTTCACAAGTTTAAGAAAGCTTTTCTCAACAGTATCCTTAACTGCATATTCTCCTGTTTTGAAAAATCAAACAAAAACCTATAATTTACAAAACAAAAAACATAGCAAGTTATGGGAACGGATACTAGTCGTACACCCAAACACAATGAACCCAATTAGTTGTAAATTCAATCAAAACCAGTCAACAAAAAATGCAATCAAACACTGAGAAAAGGGTTACCTTCAGTTATTTGTTTTAAAGTAAGCCTACCATTCTCAAGCAAATCCTTAATAATTAGTTCACACTGCAAAACAATGAGTAAAAGGCTATAATCTGAGAATTGATCAATTAAAACAAACAAACCAAAGTCAAAACCAAAAGAGGTAAAAAACTAACCTCTTTATCGAATTCCTGCGAAACAACCGTCATGAATTTGGCAAACCTCCATCGATGGAGTATGTTATCGATCAGTGCTACATACTGAGTGACTTTCGGGCCCTCTGAATCACATTCACAAACCAAGTCACTCACTTTATCATGCACATTGATCAAATCAATCAAATCCCAAAAGGGGTCACAAAATTTTCAACGAACGCTGAGATTGTTAGGGTTAGGGTGTGAGAGAAGCACCTGCTTGGTCGACGGAGAAGGGCTGAACGCAATTGTGCTGGATTAGGATGAGGAGGGAATTCTTGACTTGCTGAGGGGTGAGCTCCGTGAACCCAATTAGGAGTCTCAGTGTTAGGGGTCCTCGTTTCAGAAGATTTTCACACACTTTCTGCATCCGTAACACATTAATTAGTAATAATTACAGAAAAATTAGGAAAAAAGAGGGGGAAAGGTGGAAGCTTTAGAGAGAGAGAGTACAGCGACAAGATTGCCGAAGTGGGAGGTGATGATGTGTACGGCGTACTTGACGCCGAAGTGGGTCGCCGGCATCTTCTTCTTCTCAGTTGAGGAGTGGCAAAGATAGGCGGGAAATGATCAGAAAACTGCACAGGCGAGAGTTGCAGGCTCTCAGCTTTTTTTTTTTTTTTTTTTTTTTTTTTGGTTCTTTAATTCAAACACAGCCGATCGAACCCTATTAAGCTAATACGGGCCGATTAACAAGGACCAAATTTTAGCCCTTACTAGGCCTGGTCCGTAATTTGGGCCGAATGGCAACCTCTAGACTGGATTTATTAAGAGAAACATCATCTCTTTGTTTAAAAGGGATATTATCTGGTAAAGAGTTTGCAACTCAATTCGTTAAGAGCATTCGTGCTTAAATATGAAATTTTTAGATTATCCCTTTGTTCAATATCGATTGTAAGAAGAAAAAAAATGCTGATCACCTTGAGAATTGTTGAAAAGTTCAATTGATTTGCTTCAAGGCAACGTATTGAGATTACGTCGCTTATATTTCTTTATTTTACGTGACAAACTAAAATTTGTGTATACGATCAGAAATATATATAATTTTCTGTATTTATGAATGATTGAAACGAAAATATGTCATATTCAATGTTGAGACTTGAGAGGGGTATGGGCATGGTTAAGACGCAAATAAAACTATGCACTTGCTAGTGGTTGTTGTGCTTCCTTAATTTTGTCTTAATAATCAAAAGAAAGCAACCGACGTAAAGAGTGTTACTAACCTTTTTTTTTTCAAATTATAGACAGTAAATTAGTTTTTTTAATACAATCAAATATTTAAAATAATAAAACTAAATTAAAAAAGAACAAATTACAACGCGTGTAAAGTAAAGTGTCATTATCTATATTGGGAATAATGCTGAGTTTTTTGGTGGCAAGAATAGATATTTGATTACAACTTTTACCTGCTTTATATGAACATGCAAATGCAATTATGCAATTGCCCCCATATTCTCTTGTCGGTTCCCCTTACCACTAACATACCCCGTTTAGAGATTGATTACTTTTGAACCGATTGAATGCCGTAGGCCACATATGTTCATATATGATGTGGTATTCATTCGTTATTACATACACGATACCCCCCATTAATTAATTGCCCACATAATCCATACATACAACTTACTTATGGTATATGAAGAAATATTTGAAAACAAAGTATTAGCGAGACGATATTTTTGTAATGTATGGCATTGTCGCGATATGCCATATTATTTAAGGAAGACGGATACGTGATATTATTTTTTTACATATGTTTTTGTAGGGTTCACTTCGTAATGTATTTGAATGATCTGATTCGTCTATCGTTTAGATATTTCCTCAAATATCACGTCTACCAAAAACCACATAAATCTGAAACTATTAAGAGTTTAGGGTTTCTTTGTAGAACCGTATTCGTCCATTTTCTTTACTACAAATGCATGTCTAAATGGTAATGAATTTGTCTAATTTTTTTCAAGGAAGACCTATGAATTATCTTCTAAAAGATAGAAGACTCGGATCGTTAAAATACATTACGGAGTGAGCCCCATAAAAACTTGTGTAAAATGTTGTGTAAAAAAATGATGTCACGGATCCATCTTCTTATTTAAGAAGATTTATCTTATTAAATATTAATTGTATGCATCATTGATTACGTACGTAGATAATATATTATTGAAATGTGGTTCAAAAATGTGTGAATTCTAGCAGTACTTGTTGAGAAAAGTGGTTAGCTAACCTTTAGTAACTAGGTAGATTGGAAAAGATAGACTGATAGGAAAAGAAGCATCTCATGACTCATACGCAAATGAACCTTCCCATCACACGAAATGCATGAACAGAACAAAAAGGGCTTCACTTGTGCATTTAAAAGACAGCTAACCTTCTCCTTTCGTATATAAACTCAACTGATCAAGAACCCAAATAACCAGTTCCTGAGACTTGAATCACCATATATGCCATATGCATATTTCTTTTGAGAGCTAGGGTTTTGAAGAATATATATCTAGTGCAGGTGGAGGCTTCCAAAGGGATCGCATTGATCTAATTGATCATATATGTCAAACATCGTCCGTACAGACATGGCAGGTTATATATGTAGTTGGATCATGCGATCCCTTCGGACGTTTCCATCATCTGCTCTAAACCTCTTAACTCATCTGATAATCGGTTTATCCAGGTATGAAATCGAAAGTAAACCCTCTTTACTTTGCCAATTAATTTGATGAATTTTTTGAGAGCTTATTAACTTCATGATCATAATTTAGTTAATTTTGTTAATTCGCAGATGGTTATTATAGGGTGAGGCTTGAAATGTTTGCAGAAACTTCACTGGCTAGGTTTTGTTTAACTGGAAAATAGATGCAAATAATATATCCACCTAAGTGCTAGCTAGATTGATCATAAGCATATAGCTGATGAGTGTGTGTGTGTGTGTGTGTGTGTGTGTGTGTGGTTACCTGTTCTTGTGCTAATTTCTTAATAGGGTTCGTTCTTAGTTTGATAATGGTTGTTCCATTATCTTCAAAGTCTCCGTACAATTCAGTTCACCATGCGCCTGCTGTGATCACGCAGGGCAAAAGATGGATCATTTCATCATCCATTTTTTATAGAAATTCATAGCCATGCATATTATCATTGTCAAGAAACTGTGATGTTTTAAATCACTGGATTCAAACAAAATAAAATTAAGAACAGTCTTCTTACACTACAAAATCCTGCACGAGATATTTTATCAGACAAATGTCGAAGTCAACGTCTCATCGAGAAATTTAGTATTAAAACAGTAATTATTGTCGGATATTTTCTTGGCCCATGGAGCCATGGGGCCTCGCCGATGGATAAACTCACACACACATGTGGATGCAAATTTCTTCTTTTTTGCTCTTAGACAAAATTATATCTACAAAATAAATAACACTTTAGGTCAAGGTCAAGAACCCCATATGCCCACGATGAATTGGGGGGACTTTAGCCAAAGAACCTCCGTTGTCAAAGTTAGAATTTTGAGAGAAAAGTATTTGGAAAATTTAGAGAATGAATTGGGAGGGGGGGAGGGCTTTGGCCAAAGAACCTCTGATGCCAAAGTTAGAATTTTGAGAGAAAATTGTTTGGAGAATTTAGAGAACTTAGTAAGAGAATTGGAATTGAATTTTGGAGAGATTAAGGTAGTATTTATAGGGGTGTGGCCGGCCCCTTTAGGAGGAGGAGGACCGGCCACTTAGTTGGTATTTTGGGTGAGGTTCATGATATGTAGCTAATTAGGAATAATTGAATAATAAATCAATTAATTAGTTAATTAATATAATTAAAAAGGAATTATTTGGGGGTTACCTTGTGGAGAGGATTTGATGATGATGGATGAAATAGGTTTAAAAATAAATACCTATTTGGGCATTTTTTACTTGATTGTGGGATGATTGTCCACTGCTAGCGCGTAGGAATTCTGGTGTGCCTCGAGGGTAATTTTATCAATTTTACTAAAAAATTCATATGTCACCTCTTGATTATTTTTGGAGGTGGTGTTCTACTGCCGGTGCATGTTGCTCCTATGTAGAAACTTTTGGGGCAACGAAGACAAAACTTGTTTTTGAGTATGTCATTCTAGTGTTCGTCTGCCCTTGGCGCGCCTTTGGGCCGAGTTGTTGCGTTCGTCAGAAAATTTTGCATCTGCCAATGTCTATGCTTTTATCGTCGCCCGTCTAGATTGGGCGGAATAGTGCGTCATGAGGATGACTACATGTTTCTGAAAGTAAAACTTGAGCTTCCAGGTTGCAACAACTATTGCCAAAGTTAGCTTTTGTATTTCTGGTAGCATTGAGAAGAGCTTTTGAATTGTGGAATACAGGTAGTCCAGCCCCCAGCTCTTCTCGTATAATGGTAGAGCTTATTGCTGCTTCAGATACCGTCAAACATGCGAATAAGTCATCCGGTGCTTTCGGTTTGGATAGTAGATAGGTGATGTCAGGTTCTTTTTCAAGTCCTTGCATCTTGATTGGCGAGCATTGTCCCAAAATGCATGCTTATCTGTCAGACTGAAAGAGTATGCCAAAGTTAGATGATTAATTTTTCTAACAACGGGTGGTTTGCTGGAAGTCCTTTTTGGAAGGCTGCTCTGCCTGCTCGATCTCATCCGTGAAGGGTGAAATGCTTATGTTGGTCATGTCCCGTCGTAGTGTCTCATCGGTAACCTCATTACGTGCAATCGCTTAGTCAAGAGTCTCTCTACTTCTTCCTGAATTTACCTTTGTGAAGGTAGCAGAGTTCTCAGCTGCCCCTAGTCGTGACCTGCTGGTCTAGCAAATGAGTGAATTTCTCGTATGCTGTCTAGTGATCTTGAGTCGGATTGAGTGACTGCTTCTTTTCGTCAGTCGTGCTGCCTATTTCAAAGTGAGGTGGATGATGCTCCTTGAAGGCTTAGCAGCGAATGAACATTTTGCATGGAAGGTTGCTCATGTTGACTATCGGAGTGTGACCCCAACCTGAATGTATGCTCGTCTGTGGGCCTAGTCGAGAGTGCACGCTCCTCCACACGCTAAGACGGGAGTATACGCTATCTAAAGGGCCCAGTCAAAAGTGTACACTGCCCGAACGTTTGGTTCGTGGCCGGTCTAGTGACTGCTTGCGGGGAAGCAACTGGAGAGGTTCTTCGTCTGCCCATGTCCTACTTCGGGACACCTTGTCTAAGGTAAGTTGCATCTCGATACGCTGCAAGAGTTGGTTCACTAAGTTCGTTTGTTGTGCGATAGCGCTCGTCAACTCTATGACTTGTCGAGACAAGTGTTGTTCTCCATTTGGGTTGGAAAAGCTTGGAAGGAATGTATCTCTTTGAGCAGTGGAAGTCGAGATTTGATCTTGGACCGATTTGGGCTGCTTGGAAGGCTACGGGAACAGGCTAGGCCACAAGAGTAGGCTGGGTCATGGGAATAGTCTAGGCCACAAGAGTGGGCTACTCATCGGGAGCATGATGGGCCACAGGAGTAGGCTGCTAGGCGTGTGGCGCACATGGGTGCGAGGCTAGGGCTTAGGTTAGCAACGCGTTGGGTTCACGTCGAGTTTGGGTGGCATTGGCCGACTCGACTAGGGCTTGGGCCTTTGAAGGTGGAAGTGGCACAGCTCGGGGTCGTGGTTGTGGCGCCATGTACCTTGTCGTGAGTGGTTGCCAAGGTGGTGCCTCGTGGGGGGTGCCGCTCCACTCACCTCTATGTTGAGCCTTGAAGATCGCCGCAATCCTAATCCTTGAACGTTGGAATTTTCGTTCGTCGAGGTTTCCAAATCTCTTGCCATTTGTACTTTTCTTTTACGTTTTATTAAAGAATTTTTAGAAGTAAAAATTCCAAGGATAAGGAACGTACGAAAAATCTACAAATAAGCAAGGAAAGAAAAAACCTTAGATGCGAGAGTCTTCTACGAGCGTGTGACTCAACTCTCAATGAAAGCATCAATTTGTGGATGCAAATTTCTTCCTTCTTGCTATTGGACAAAATTGCACCTACAAAACAAATAACACCTTAGGTCAAGATCAAGAGTCTCACGCGCCTACGATGAATTTGAGGGGAGGCTTTGACTGAAGAACCTCCGATGTCAAAGTTAAAATTTTGAGGGAAAAATGTTTGGATAATTTAGAGAATTTAGCAAGAGAATTGGAATTGGGTTTTGGAGAGATAAAGGTAGTATTTATAAGGGTGTGGCTGGCCCCTTTAGGAGGAAGAGGACCGGCCACTTGGTTGATATTTTGGGTGAGGTTCATGATTTGTAGCTAATTAGGAATAATTGAATAATAAATCAATTAATTAGCTAATTAATATAATTAAAAATGAATGATTTGGGGCTACCTTGTGGAGAGGATTTGATAAGAATGAATGAAATAGGTTTAAAAATAAATACATATTTGGGCATTTTTGACTTAATTGTGCGATGATTGTCCACTGCTCACACATAGAAATTCCGATGTGCCTCAAAGATAATTTTATCCTTTCCAAAAATCCACGTGTTGTATCTTAATTGTTTTTGGCTCTACAACACACATATGTTATTTATGCGCATGCATGAAAGCTGAACTACTACTCTGATCCCTTCATTTTTTTGTCGTTCTGGAATCAGGGCCATATATGAACTAGGGCTGGGCACGGGCCGGGCCGGGCCCATTTTTGAAGGAACCGGACCGGACCCGGAATTAAAGGAGACGGGGCGGGCCAGGCCGGGCATTACAATTTTGAAAATTAGAACCGGACCTTACCCGGCCCGGTTGAAACGGGCCGGTTCGATCCGGGTACACGGGTCCTTTTTTTTCCTGTTTAAAAATGTTTGCTGCACACAGATTGCAGTTTCTCACAAACTGCAATTAGTGCAGTTTTTTGCAGTTTCTCACAAACTGCACAGATTACAGTTTGCATTTTGCAGTGCACAGATTGCACAGATTGAAAAAAACTGCACAAATTCCACAAATTTCACAGATTTCACAAATTTCCCAGATTTCCACAGATTCCACAAATTCCACAAATTTCACAGATACCACATTCTACAAAGTATGAAGCAAGACAAAACCACCACTCAATAGCACCGCCGAACTCCCAGCTGCAACTCCACCAACAGCTGTTGCACCTGCAAGTTCATCCGAGACACAGAAACCAACCCAGAAGATTAATGCTTGCTTCTGCAGTTGCTTCCTTCTCTGCACATCCAAAGAATCCCACCAGCAGCAGAGCAATGGAAGATCCCAAGATATTTGTGGAGACTAGCTTAAGGAAGGCTCTACCCAGCAAATCGAATCTAATGCCATCCATTTGCAATTTTATTACAATTTTATTCATTGATCCCCGAAAACCCACTTAAAAATTTCAAACCCAGAAAACTTTCAACCCAATAAAACAAATTAGCCTCAAATCATACCCCTAGAGAGATTGCAGAGACTGAATTCAGTAAATTACCTTAATTTAGGGAGGAGATGAGATGATGGTGGTGGCCGATTTGGATTCGTAGGACGAACTGACGGAGATATCGACAAACTGTATTTGAGCAGAGCTCAAGTTAACGGAGATAGAAAGACGAACTGACGGAGTTGAGCAATAGCAGATCTTGGCAGTCCAGTCATGGATCGTGGCGATGAGGTCATCGTCTTCTCCGATGGTGAG